TGTTAATTTGCTTGCTATTTCAAGAACTTGAAGACTGTCAGCAAAATCCATGATGCATTACAAAACTTATAATTGAAAAGAAAAAAACCCAACATCTGACGCTTTTCTGACCGGGTAAACACGAAGTCTGAAAACACTGATCAGAACAAGGGAGAGGTACTAACTTAGAGCTATTTGTATTAAAATATGATTGCAAACGAAGCGGGGAAATAAACAGAGCTACAGAAATAATTTTGAACTGATACAAAATCCTTTGACGAAACCTCTAAAAATTTACCCTGGAATAAAAAGAAAATAAAACCATTGCACGAAACATTATTTTTAAAGGAGATGGCTGAACCTGTCCATAATTTCTTAAGGCCGCATTATCCAGGCCAATTAAAATTTTGCTTCTGAAAAAGAGTTAAGGCACTTCCTCTGGAGTTACTAAAAAAAGCAAATGAAAGCCTTGGCTTCGCAGAGGTGAGCGATAGTGAGCCGTTTGTTCTTGACCTCTGGATCACCCTACAGATCAAATTCTTGGACATAGGAAAAACCCACTAGTATTCATTAAAAGCAACTGGGAGGCCAGCTTTGTGCTTCTGTTCTTGAGACCTGAACAAGCTACAACTTGACAAATGTGCAGGATACTGCAGAACAATGCTGCTGTTCCTGTCAGAAGGGAAGAGCTTTATTCCCGGCTTCATTCAGGATGAATTGATTTTCATCACACTGATGCAAATCACAGATTTCAGTCATTATTTAAATAATCAATTTTAATCTTATATGTTTCTGCTTTTCAGTTATTTCCATAAAGTTGTCTCCATTAAACATTAAAATGCACTGATTTATGTTGAATTAGCTTTTCCATTAACCATTTTCTTCCCTCAAAAAGAGTCATCTATCTGTAGTTAACTAAACAAATATGCATGCTGAAAGTCTGGGATCTTCAGTTTTACTGTTCATTCTGCTAGGCAGGGGTGGAATTTGCCCATATATTTTAACAGCTAAAAATAATGTAAATGATCGCTTTATCAGATTATTTTATACTTATGGCTTGTGACATTTTTTGAGGACTTTTTAATAGAGAACAGAATTTAAAACCCATAAATAGGCCTAGGGCCCCATTATTCATTAAATTAACTACCATAAATTTCCAGGCACACAAAGTTTTTCAGAATACTTTTGCACTTCAACTATTTTTTGTCTTTCAAACAAACCAAAAAAGCTACCTGTAGAGCTGAACAGCACAACAAAATAAAACAGAGAAAAATATTCTCCCTGAACAATTGTTTCTGTCAAAACGTGGCTTAAACAAGTTCTGGCTCCAGTTAACCGGAGTTCTCTAGTGGTTTGAACGCTTTTAAAGCTTCATTAGAAAACAGACATTGCTAGAAAATTTGTGTTCAAATGTCTATAGCATACTATAGTAAATTAAGTCCTTAGAATGGATGAACAATTTCAAATAAATTTAAGAAAACCACACACATTTTAAAATAACATTTGAATTTAAATACAACTTACATGTATTCACTTATACATATTCATCACCCGAAGCTGCAGTAAAAACACTGTCTCTCCTTACCCTTTTACAGATACATCAGTATTAGTTACGCTTATGTATACTTCACAAAGGGAGTTTTAAGTATTAAAAATTCATATATCCATTACGTTTTGAATTTTTTGTCCATTCAATATGTAGCCTCAATCTCAAATTTCCAAAGAAGAAAATGTTTCCATTGGAATCTTTGAGAGTTTTGACTGCATAAAAGTATAAATTATCAGTTTTTTCCCCCACCAAACAAGCCAGGTTCATAGGGCAAAGTCAGAAGGAAGAGAAAGGAGGGAAATGATTCTGTGGATTATTAGCTATAGACCAAAGGGAAAATCTTCAGCCATTTTGCTCCTTCAAACATCTTCAAACGTCCAAGAATTTCCTATTTAAGGCATGAAAATGTCAGTTAGATTCTTCACCTCTGAAAATGAGCAGATGTCCAAACGTGATTCGTGTCCCACCCTTACTCTTTTCTCTTTTAGGGTCTGATACTCTTGTTTTCAACTCCCCTCCAGCTAATGCCATTTAATACTCTCAGAACCATCAGGCTAAATTCAGATTTTCTGCTCCTTAGAGGCTGTTGATATGCACCACCGCACATTCCAATTGCAAATACACATGAATGCTCCCGTGTATTGTAAGTTATTTTCTACATACAAATTCTACTAAATTGTAAGTTAGGAGGCACTACTTGAATTCTCTTAGGTCTTTAGAAAGCTTTCAGATGTACCATGAGTAATAACATGTAATGAATATGGACTGATATTTCTTTTCTGTAGTTACACTGCGTTGGCAATTTACATTTTCTAAATAGATAGATGACTTCTAGCCAGTTTTCCCAGTATTCTGCCAATTACTTCTTAGAAACCCCTGACAGGCTGAAACCTCCAGAATCACAGCTGTTATTCTTGGTTTGATCCCTCTTTTTAAATTAAAACCAGTAGCTTTATCAGCAAATGAGAATTTTTTCCCTCTGGAAATACTTACAAAAACACACATAAATTGAACATGCCAACTTCTAATTTTAGGGTTGGAGCATCTTCTGGATTAATGACCAGTGTTACACTCCTGTGACAAAACTAAGTGGGATAGGGAGGCCATAAATACATACAAAACCCCTTCCTTTGGGGTAATCTGAAGATTTATAGTAGTAGAGCGAGATGCGATTGGAGGGGAAGGAGAAAAAATTTAAGGAGTGCTAATAGGCTTGTCTGATCACTCTATCTGTTTCCAGGCACAGAACAGAACTGGAACAGATTTTTCTAGTATCTGATGTGACTCTTTCTTCCTCTCAAAGACCAACTAAAATGCAGGTAATTAGCTGAATTTTCATGTTTTCCAGGAATATGAGAGACAGAGAGAGAGAAGATGACATCGCATCCCTACACTCTGAACACACAGACTAGCTAATCTAAAAAGCTGTATTCAAAATGATAGCCTCAACTCCACATCAACAGTTGCTCAAAACATGCTTTGACAAGTGTTTTACGCAGCTGAACACAAATGAAACACCCTTCAAGAGAGAGAAGTCTGCACTTGGCTGGAGCTCAGCATGTCTTTCTAGTAATCTAGCTTCATTTCTCGTTGATCACTAATTGGAAAAATCCAGTTATCAATGGATTATAGGGACAAATAATGAAGATTTGTCTTTCATGACTAGGTCAGAACACATATGCTACTCACTTGTTACGGTTAAAAAAAAACAACTCAGTTCCTTGATGTAGCATTCCTTAATATTTCAGAACAAACATTCTAAATCCATGTATATATCTGCAAAATGAAAGAACTTCTAAATCCAGCTGGAGAAAAAAGGATAACAGATTGCCATTATGGATTCAGGATGCAAAAGGGGAAAAAAAAACCGCTACATTTTGCCATAAATGTAAAACAGGCATATCACCTGGTTCTCCATTTCAGAATGCCAAGCTCTCTCTTCCCCAGACTTGGATTCTCCATGCTCCAGATCTCTCCAGCAGCTCTGCAGTAAGCAGAGTTCAGGTAAATCTGCCCCAAATAAATCTGAAAGATGCCTACACTTCACAGTCATTGGTTGTCTGCAGAATACAAGTCCTCTGCGTCTGACACACACATATGAAAGGAGCTGAACACAATCTTAGCAGCTAACTCTCCAGCTCACACAGCTGCTCACCTTGCAGCTTGTCTCAAATCCACCTCACACTGCCCAAGGCATTTACGTGCCCTGTCTTCTTCTGTGTGTTATATGCTGCTATACTAAAGAAATTACTTTGAAATGTCTTTAAGAGATGATTCCTAACCTGAATTAAGATCATCTTTCCCAATTAGCTGATACTGCAGGATTTAGCGTTTTGGGTTTTTTAGCTAAGCAATGTCAGATTGATTTAAACTGCTAGCTAAAGGCTATGACTTAAATTAAAAGAATTAGTATCTTAAGTCAAGAATGTGAGATACAACGCTAGATCAGTTTTCTAGCCAGCACTAATGTATGTATATGACAAAAAATATCGTTGTCAGAAGCATCCACGTATGTGGTGCTGTATGAATCACCCAGGCCTGCGGGCCAAGTAAACAGTCAGCGGAGACGAGATGAAGAGGAAAATTTCAAATATCTGTATAGGTTTGCCCCATTCTTTGGTTCAACCCCTGCCATCCCTCCCTCTCCTACTTTCCCCTTTAAAGCAAGCCTGACATCAAAAATGTAAGTTATAAGCTTACAATAAACCCTTCTTACAGGTGTGCACAAACTAGCACCTAAGCACTTCAGCTGACAACAGAGAACACCAAGTAGTGTAATGATTCTCACCATCACTGACATTCACATTTCTGGTAGAGCCTCAAAGGACTGTGGCTGTTGTTGGCATGAGAATTTAAAACAAGTGCTACCCAAGCCTCCACACAGAGGTATCAGGCATCACAATTAAACAACACGTAGAAAAGACAAGGAAGAGTCTCCTTAGTACAAAACTGGACAGCAATTTTTCCTGCATATCCGTGGCACAGGGGTGGAACGAGATCAAAACTGGCTTGAAATCATTATCGCAACTTTACAAGCAAAAGAAAACAATGTGTAGAACTGATCAGAAATAAGTCTTTAAAGCACCTGCTGCCATGAACCTTATGCTGTGCGGGTGTTAAATGCTACCATATTAATCTAGCAGCACAGCAGACATAAATACCTAAATAGCATACAATATAATGGAGCTTCCTTCCCTAATACATGCAGTTAATCCACCCGCACACGGTGGATATTGAGTCCACATTTTTTTAAGTGCATTCAGCAGGCAGAACAGAAATAATTACAATTCTTTTTCTGGTATTTCACACACATGGCTATTTATCAACGAAAAATGTAGCAATTGTTTCACAGTGGTTCACAGCTAAGTTCAATACTCTTCTGCAGGGCAATGCAACAAAGTGGCTTCATGCATT